GAGAAGTGGAAGGGAAGGGTTGAAACCACAGAGAAGATGAAAGCAGACAAACAGAAGAAGAGATCAGATAACATATCACAGAAGAAGCAAGAGAAGAAAATGCGGAAGATTGCGAAAAGAGAGAAAAAACTCATGCGGCCAGGTTTTGAAGGTCGCAAAGAAGGTTTTATCACTCAAGGTTAAAGCATTAAGTTCTCACAAGAATCAAGTCCAATCAGCTCAGGGGAGGTTAATTTGAGGGTTTTTTTTTGTTCTTATAGAGCACAGCCCTGCCCTTCTCCTTAAATTTTGATTTCCTTCCGTTTGCCTTTTGTACTTTATAACTGTTTAATGCTTAGGTGCTGATATTCAGTAGATAAATGTGATTCAAGCATTTTCTTGCCCTTTGCTGCTATGAAGGATTAATCTGAATTTACCACAATCAGTATTTTGAGCTTAATGATTGCTCTGTTTCTAGGCTCAGTGAAATCTTTCCTAGACCATAATGCTGATAATCTTACAACAAAATTAGAGGCATTCCAATTGTAATCAATCTGAATATTGAAGGGAAAATACAGAATTCAAAATGATGCAGAACTGTTCTCCTGATTGGTATCAGGCTACTTGAGAGATTGATATCATATAAAAATATCAAGACAAACTAATATAAATTAAATCAAAGAGGATGTTAACCAAGCTTTAATTAAAAACCATACATTATACACATGATGCACACATAATGCTGAAAACAAGCTAGTTCCCACATATGTGGTACAAACATGCACAACACACCACTTGGTCACTGATTACATCTATCTACAGCCACAAAACTCACAAACTAAAACTTAGAACCCCATATCAAATTATGACTCCCACAAAAGGAGAGGAAAACAAAAGAGAGTCAATTCCCATCTAAATGTGGAAGTCACTACTGCTATATGAGATCCTCAAACCACCCTAGTGGCAGGGACTGCTCCAGCTGTGCCCTTGTGTATTGGATCCACACCAGTAGCCGGGTAGTCAGTGTCGCGGTAACCCGGGCCATACTTGCTGCTGAAGACTCCGGCATGAAGTAGCAGGATGTACAAAAGCTGAGTGAATGCCAAGATTATTATGAAAGCCTCCAAGATCTTCAGCCTCCATCCTCTGTGTCCTCCAATGCTTATTTGCTTGCATGCCAACCTGTGAACACACACAACAATTATCTCAATTAGTCAATTGGTTGATCTAATTGACTAATTGTGTGTTGTAACTATTTATGTGAATTGAAAAGATTTCTTAGATTTGTTTACCCAAAGGCTAGTGCAGTGAGAGCCCATGCCACAACTGATGATGATCCTGCTGCAGCTAGGCTGTCACTCCTCCAAGCTCTGATATGGTTTGCTCCAGCCAACTTTGATGCTATGCCCATCACCCCAGCCAATATGGCGAATATCAGAAAGAACATTGTTGCTCCATTTCCTCCAAAACCTGCCCAAAATTTTTACACACTGTGATATCAAAAACCCAAGAAAAATCACTAGGACTTGAAAGTCACAGGGCTCGTTTAGGAGTGATTCTAGATAGGCCGATATTCCATCCTTTTTATGCAGAATCTTCTCTATATAATCACTTTAAAGTAGTTTTAAGTGATTTTTTTGAAACTCACACTGAATCGCTCAAAGTGATTATATGAATAAGCACATAAAGGTATTTCTCCCCGTGAGAGATTCTGAACGAGCTCATAATTAAACAAGAAAACCCACGAAGAAAAGAGAGAGGTAATATAATATGAACTTACTAGGGTGGTTGGTCTGGCCATTGATGAACTTGTTAAGACACCAACTAGCAAAACCAACTACAATAAAATACATGATCAAGTTGAGAAACAGCAATGGAGCTGCCACGTTCCTTCCCACTGTCTGAGCCATATCTCCTTACAAAATCTCACAGATAAAAGCAACAAAACCAACACCAAGCTCTCTTCCTTTCAAGCACAAGCTTACTGCTGATCACTTCGTTTTTTGTTGAAGGCCTTTGATAAGAGCAAAGAGGTTGCAAGTGAGGCTCTATATAGAAGAGGCAACCGATGTAATGATGTTAGAAATGAGATACGTGTAAAGCAATCAGATTTGCATGTGGATTATTGGTTACAGCCTTACAGGTGGTAGGACACTTGTCAACATTTGGTCACTCTGCTCCCCATGAAACCCTATTTCTGTCTCTTGGCCTCTCCGAGTTTCAAACTTTAAACAGACGGTGCATTATCCATACACCAGAGAAATGTCTAGCATACTGCTCAGCTGCACTGCCTAGACTGGTCCAGCACCCCAGTGGGCCCACCCCATCAACGGTGGATATCAAAATCTCCATGTATTGGAGGGTGATGATGAAGAATGTTCCAAAGTTAAAGCATCTTTGATGTGGGGTTGCCTCTATGAGCTTCATGTGTTTCTGATCATCATGTTAAAGTTTGATATTTATGGTTTTGATATTCTTCCTGTAATATATATATATATATCTGTCAATTAATATACAGTAGCAATGAAAAGGGGTTTCTTTCTGGAATGATCTTGTCCTTGCTTGATTCTTGTTTTATCCAAACTTTAAAAAGGACACAATCGTCATAATAAAATGTAATATAAATACAAGTGCTGGGAAATATATGTTGCTACTCCTTTAGCCAAACTTTTTTGTCCTTACTCATTCTCTTTAGTCTTGTGAATCGCTGCAATATGAAGTTTCAGGAGTCTTGGAATCCTTCGACCAAGCATGTTTATAGTGAGCAAAATTGTGCTATTCGCTATGGCTATATGCGCTTTCTCCTGCTCTGCATATATTTGATGTGGAGCCTCCTTCTATCTCTGATGTTCTAGGTTGTTAGGGATGGCAGAAATTCCCCTATGGTCGTGGCCTAACGGGGGAGATTTTGGGAGAAAATTGGGGACAAATATGGGAATTTCTTGAATTTAAAAGTAAGGATGGCCGAAGATGGTATTGTTATTCATGTCCCCAAACTAGGTCCGATAAATGATATATTTACTTTAAAATAATATAGAATATAATATAAATGGTTATAATAATATAATATATATTTAGTTGTCTCAAATTGAATTGAGATGATTTTGAGTGGTTTAGTTAAATTTTATAGTTTGATTGAGTGGTACTTGAGTTGAATGATATTTTTTGGTGAAATTTAAGTGTTATAATGTAGGATAAATATCTTTTTATATATTTAAATTCAAGGATTCAAGGCTAATTTTTGAGATATCCCCCAACAGGGACGTGGACGAGTATTACCTCAAAATTCTTACCGGAGATGGAGATGGGGACGAGCGCAGGGATGGGACACATAGATAAGGATGATATTGTCATATGCGGTCCCTAATCGGCCGGTTGCCTTCCCTATAGTTGTTGATGCCAATAATTTGGCTTGGACCAAATTAATTTATGTCTAGTTCTTTTTGTTGTTATTACAAAACCAAGGTCTGGAATTGTTTTAATCATGAGCTATACAAATATCTATTCAAATTTTTTGCATCATTTTCGTATGATATCAGTCACTTTGTTTTTCATTCTGTTAGTAAGCGTAAACTACATGTGTGATCAATCTCCATCCCACTTTTAGACTTAACAAAGGAATCGAATCCACATAAGTCGAAAATGGGCCAATAATTGCAAAAAATCTGAGATTAATCTTCAACATTCCTAAATACACAAACACAGAACTAAGCCATGTAGCCCACATCCATTAGACTCCCAAATATAAGTAGCAGAATCCAGAAAGTTTCTAAAACCACTCTCTAGACTCAACATATTACCACAGCAAAAAAAAAAAAAAAAACTCGAGATATTAGATATATCGTGATTTACAGAAGACTAGTATAACCCAGAACTCAGAATTATTATTGTTTTTCCCTCGGTTAAGCCTAAAAACCAACAACCCATACCTTCCTTCCACCCTCAAGGCCCATCCCCTAACCCAATACCCTTACCCCGTTTGGTTTACGGGAAAGGAGGATTGGGGATGAGAAATCATGAGAAATGGTTGCTTAGGGCACAATAGGAGGAAAGTGAAGCCCTTCTCCGCCCTAGTGTTTTGTTTTCCCTCATCGTAGGAAAGTTTGGGAAAATGATTCAATATTAAATGCACATTTTTCATGACTATTTTGATCCCATTAACAATTTAAAATTACAATATAGCATGCCTTTTATTTTTTTTTAAATAAATAATAATAATAATAATAATAATAAATTTTTTACATTCCTATGCAAACCAAACATGTGAAAGGAAATAAAGTGGTATTTCCTGGTTACTTTCCCAGCATTACCAAATATGGGAAAAGAATCTTCTATTTTCCATTCCTTAGAAAAAACGTGAGAAATTATTTCTCATCAAATTTTTTCCGCGAACCAAATGGACCAACCTTTGTCTTTTAGTCCATCCCATTTGTAATGTTTTTCAATTCAGGTTGGGAACAATGATGGGTTAAATACTTTTGACAGTTTCCAATATCGAATGTGTTGTGTTGATGCAACCCAAAAGAATAACATATGTGGTAACCCTAAATTAGAAATTTTTTATTACTTAATTTGACATATTATGTTATTAGATTGTCTATCTAAATTATTATTTTAATTAGAATCATTTATGAATGTTTGGTGCTCATTCATGGTCTAGTATTATAACGTGCTAGCAATTGTCCAGCAAGAGAACATACAAGGTAAATATTTTCTTTGCCATATAAGGTTTTCTTGTCAACCACTCTGTAGATAATCTAATGTATTTGTGGACAGATAGTCAATCTCAACCATTAATTAGTTGAGTTCGAATATGTGGTTTTGGTTCATAGTTAGGTAACACAATAGACTAGGCCGACCTTAGGGTGGTGTCACCGCAGATGGCCTCGATTTTTAGAGGCTCTTTTGTGTGTGTGTGTGTGTGTGTGTGTATTTATCAATATATGTGAATGAGCAACATACTTACATGATTTTGCGCCTATCAGAGTTGGTTTATGGCGCTCCTATTCTCGTTGAAGGCTGGAGTTTGATTCCCACTTATGCACTCACCAAACCACTAGATTAGGCGCGTTTTTATGGAAGTTAGTTATGCTTATTTACTTTACAATGGTAATCGTTTATTTTGCTCCGAATATACTAGTATTTAACTTAGTCATATTGAAGCATTAAAACTTTTAGGCCCCGTTTGGTTCACGAAATGGATTTGAGGGGAAATCACTTCCCATGTCATTTCCCAATAGATGGGAAATGAATTTCACCATATTTGGTAATGTTGGGAAAATAACCGGGAAGATTCCTTTCCCATGTTTATTTCCTTTCTCATGTTTGTTTTGAGTAGAAATGGAAAACAAAGTTTGTATAATTTCCAATTATACCGATATTAAATCGAATAAAAAAAGAATGCATTGAATGATATATATTACAATTCTAAATTATTAATGGGGACAAAATAGTCATGAAAATGTGCATTTAATGTTGGTTCATTTTCCCAAACTTTCCCATGATGAGGGAAAACAAAACCCAAGAGAGGAGGAGGGCTTATCCTTACTTTTCTATGTGTTAGACAACGATTTCCCATACTTGGACTTACCAAACATGAGAAAGCAGTTGATTTCCCATCCCCAAACCTCATTTCCCATGAACCAAACGGGTATGAGTTTGATTTGTGATTGCAATTGACAATGAAGTTTAGTTTTAAAAAAATTGTTTTACGGCATCAATTCATGGTAATTTATTATTTATTATTTTCATGTCATATGAGGGCTCGAATTTAATTTACACACAGGACCCTCAAAATCTCAACACTGGCCATGACAATAGACCATATATATGGCGAAAAAATAATATAGTATGCTTGGAATATTTTACCCTTAGCAACTTAGCATGTTATTTTGTCATCATGTTGTTTCGATATGTTGATTAGGTGTAGTACCTTGTGCTTACCTACAACATGTCATATTATGTCATGACCTTATTCGAAAATAAGGAATATTCCCGAATCAGGGTGCGAGTCATACCATAGTCATAAGAATAAAATCATACAACCATGATATTATGAGAAAAAGAGCCACAAATGATTACAAATTTACCTAACAACACAGAATCAGAGTTGCAGTAACTCGTAGTTAATTACACACTAAGATCTTTATCCAATAGTTGACTACTTACAAAAGTTAATTACACAAATCAACAACAAAAGCCTAGTAGCTTGGTTGAAACCCGCTTCCTCAAACATCGCCTTGAATCCTGCACAATCTATTAGGGTATGAGCATTCTAATGCCCAGTAGAGTACCGTCAAACCCCACAAGGTCAGCTATCACAGTTAATCAAAGTGTCATGCATCAAACAACACAAGATATATAAGTTATGCAATCAAACAAAATGAATAAATTTGCATATGCGGTGATGCCATGAACTCACTCCCTTCTAATCCTACTAATTCATACCTTAGGGCAACAAGCCTGCATGTCCCATATCATGCGTTTTACCATTGTGACTTCGAATACCCTAAAATATGAACTAGCGCATATCCGTCCCTTAACCCAGTTTTATTTTGTTTACGAATTTCTCAACTTTCACTTTTCATTAGAGACTCTACTCCCATCACCTCATTATATTCAAACCCTACTCCCGTCACTTGAATATATTTTACTTTTTTTCTTACTCAGATATATCTAAGGCATTCTCCCACCCCTTAGATATATGTCAAACGACACACACACCCTTAACACCACTGTATTTATGATGCATATGTAATGCAATGCAAACATCATTTATCTATGCTGAATAATAATACAGATAATAACAATAATATTTTAAGCTTCATCACATGAATAATAATGTTCACCCAACGTCAAAAATAATATCCATGGAGAAACATCAATAATAATATTCACATAACATCAAATAATATTCATCGAGCAAAACAACAATAATATTCATATTTATAATATCATATATAAGCACCAAGATTAAAAGTGACATAGCCCTATCATCGGGAAATCAGGAAATCCTACCTCATGTCCAGTTAAGTAAAGTACCAAATTTACCCTTCGGAGATTCTCGGAGTTGTCGAATCTACACTTTTGATCCAATTCCTTATAGAATTTTTCTTCTCTTCCTCCTACTCTTTTTCTCCTTGTTCTTAGTTTTCTTCTTCTTCTTCTACTCTCCATCTCTCTCTCTCTCTCTCTCTCTCTCTCTCTCTCTCTCTCATTATCATCTCCCTCCTGCCAGCAATTCACCTCTCCTAGCTTCATCAAGAAAAATCCCTTAGGCTTGGTGACTCACCACTTAGACTAGGTGACTCATCCTCATCCCTTCATAATGGAGGTTTTGAAATGAGGCAATGGGGGAAGAATGGGAGGAGGATGGTTTGATTCCCTCCACGTTTCAGATTCCTCCTTCTTTTTTTTTTTGGGCCTACAAGGATATTTTGGTAATTATCCACACATAAGGGTATTTTGGTCATGTTTTTCCAACTTCAAATTAAACACACTTAATTTAATAATCTCAATAAAAAATCACTTGATAAAATACCCATAATCATTCTCCATCACAATATTATTTTGCATTGAAATATGAAAATCCACATTGAATTTTTCGGGCTATTACATATTATATCGTCAAATTGTTAATCTAATATCATATGTTAGGTGAAATAATGTATAAATGTATTGTCCTTTTGTAGGTATGATACTGTAGCACGACAAATATCTAAGAAAAGAACATTATTATCCTATATTCATGCTATATTCAGCTCACGGACCGCGGGTCAAATGATAAATCCTACCAGATAGTCTAATATATTATGTGGCCAACATGTTAATCTAATCTGATGAGTAGGTTACGTAATGTTTAAATATGTTATTGCTGTCTTTAGTTTGGCAATTTTATGATGCTTACTATTAATAAAATTCATTGATTAGGTTAAGTAATTTTTAATTATGTTGTCCTCGTATGTATCATAACATGCCAAATATATGATAAGAGAACATTACTCCATAGAGATTTTCTATTTAAACCCCACACTTCTCTTAGTTCACCCCAATACTTAAATTATTAAGTTGTAAGTTTTATTATTGTGTAAAAAGACAAGTATGCCTCTTTAAAATCTGCGTGAGAGCTGATGGAAAGACTTGTTGATTGTTTGACTGTAAGTATCTTATTTTCTTCTCTTTGTTGCTTGCTTTTGTTTTTTTGTTTTTGTTTTAATACCTGATGTTTTGGTAAAGCTGTTCTCTTTCTCTAGAAAGTATTAAATTTCGGATTTGGGGTTCCATTTGTTTGTGTTTTTTTTTTCTGCTGGGAACAGTAATATTATTGTCACTTATGGAATTCTAGTATGCATCTAAAATCATAATCCTGCTGTTGTTGCTTCAATAGTTGGGTTGTTTTTCTTGTTCCTTTTCCACTCTGATAAAAGCTTCAATGTATTCTCCATACATATGGTCAATATTTTCATCACTGAGATTCAAAAGAGTTGTTGATTTCGAATGCCAATGAAAATTGAATACCTCATTGTCATTATTAAATACTCAAGAGAGAAAATGATAAAATGTCTAGCAATTAGCATTAGAGCTTGCAGAACGTACTTCCTCCTCTAAGGGTAGCTTGTGGGGTTTAAATAGAAAATTTCTTTTATTTCTTATTTTTTCAGCTTGGGGTGTATTTAAGGGTAGTTGGAGAAGATAGTGGAGTTTTCTTAGAAATTGTGAAATTTTAAATTAAAAGTTGGGGTGAACTTAGAACATGGGGTGAACTAAGAGAAGTGTGGAGTTTAAATAAAAAATCTCACTCCATATATGGATGATATAAATATAGAATCTTATAATTATTAATGTGATAGATTAGAAAAATTATTTTTTTTAAAGATGACTTAGGAAGTGATATTTTTTGTTGTTGTTGAGTATAAGTGATAGTCTAAACTACAAATGATGAGATTTTTTCACACAAACACAACTAAAATGCCATAGGGGTTTGAACCTGAGACCTCTTTCTACAAGTTAAGGTCGTTTTCCACTGAGCTAGACCTCATTGGCAGGAAGTGATATTTTAAAAAACTCAAAGTATCACAAAAATCGATTATGTTAAAATACAAAAATAATAAATAAATAAAAGAAGAAGAAGAAGAAGAAGAAAAGAGTGAGACCATTTTTAATACCTCTTTGTTCACTCAATATCTATATTATTACTTAAGAGAAATTACTATTATGAATCACTTTCATAAACTTCCACTTATGCTCTTATTTATGCTAAATCCAATAGAGAAAAGAAAAAGTAATAGTGGTCTAACTCAATGAAAAATGAAATGAATTCCCACGACATCTTGTTAGTGTGTGTGTGTGAGAACTCCTAGTCCCCTTATAATTTAAAACTAATATAATAAGGGTATACAAATAATTTAATGTTATAAATACATAGAATGTTGATGACCTTTTGATATATTGTAACATATGTAATTAGTAGCCTTTAACTCATAATTTGTGGGTTAGCTTCCTATCATTGTAAGCCTATAAATAGGTGATTATCAAAGAAGAAGAGGACAAGTTTTTAGGGACTAATTTATATTGTCTTCCTCTATTCCTTATTTCTCTCTACAAATTCCCTTAGTTATATAACATTTAAAATAATTATAAAAAATAAAAAATTTGCTCCACATTTCTCTCACCACCTTGTCTTCTTATTCTTTTGCAGTAAAGCATTCTCACATGGATAGCATTTGGTTAGTCTACTTTTTCTATGAAGTTGATAAACTGATATTAGAGCATCCACAATCATGCTCCTTATTTTTAGTTGAAATTTAGCTAAAAACACTAGAAACCTATTTTATGAGCTCTATATAAAATATCAATTCCAACAATACTCCTTAAGAGGGTGTATTCAATTTAGATTTTAAATGATTTTAAAAGAGTTATAAAGCTGATGGAGTTTAATTGAGTTTGACTGAATTCTACAAACTCCACATAGATTTTGACTGAATTCGTATATAGATTTTAACTGAGTTTGTTAGAATTTTATTATTGATTTTAATGGAGTTTATAGTGATGGCGGTGGTGGTGATGACAATGGCAATGGCAGTGGCGATGGTGGTTTGTGGGGGAGGTGGTGGTGGTGATGGAGGTGGTGGCTGTGGCAATGATGGTAATGATGATGGCAGTGGTGGTGGTGGTGACGATGGGGCTAATAGTGGGGGTGGTAGTGGTGGTGGAGGTGGAGGTAAGGGTGGTG